CTCTTTCGTGTTAATATATTTACAGCCAATAAATTTGAATTGCACGAAGCCTTTTACTTTTACACGTACTTTTCATAAGTAGATCCGAATCTACTTATGAAAAGTACGTGTTACGTGTTCAGTATATAAATGATATCTTTTGATAGTCAGAGAAATCGAGGTTGTTTTAGAAAAAAAATAAACTACAAACACAGTTTTTGCTGAGCCGGCTTACAGTATGAATGTTAATTATGTTTATTTGTAGGACATCAACACACCTGATTCACCGTGCTTTTATCGCTAAAAGCTTGGGATTCATCGTGGAATAAACTTGTGTAAATGTAATAAAAAACGGCAAAATTATGATAATAAAATTTTTCTATTGATATAACACGATCAGGTAAAATTAGGGGACAATAAATAAGGTTGTATCACTTCTTTGAGTCAATACAACGGAGTTGTCTGCTGTAGTGGCTTGGATCTGTTATTTGTGAACTTTATATCTAAATAAAAATATGGCGAAACAAACAATATTTATATTTAATACATGTTATTTATGGTTGTAAATACTCATTTAGAATTTGCCGTACACGGTGTTTTCGAAACATGTAAGTCCTTCGCTATTTAACGCAAAAAAAAAAACTGTGACGCCATAATTACAACAATATATTTAAAAAAAAAAACTGGGTGAGTCTTATCATGATAGTGGTAATCGTGATTATGTGGATTGGTAGAACATCAACTCAAGATTCTTAGCTTTTGCTGATAAATACCCATTACATGGGTAATCGAGACCCATTGGGAAATGGGAAATTGGAAATGGGTCATTGTCGTGAAATTAACCTAGTGGGTCTAAAAAATAAAACCACTAACATTTTAGATACACGTAACACTCACATTCGAATTGAACTGGTTTAAAACACAAAATTCGGCACACCCTCTTTTTTCGACAGAGGGGCAAACGAACGCGTTCGAACGGCAATTCGTGGCTGTGTTGCCGATCTTTAAGGGGAGGGGGGAGAAGAAACAACAAAGCCTGTTTAGATAATATGAATATGGTTTAATCACGCATAAAGAAAGAAAATAACTCTATATTATACAGTAAAAAATTCCAAGTGTAATGAAACCATTATTATCTATGGATTATATATTTTTTACGGAGAGGGGTACTTACGCAATATTGCTTAAGTATTAAAAAAATATAACGGAATTATAGCGTGTAAATATATGTAAACAGATATTAAGATTCCTAAGGATTGACAACAAAGTGTGGCCCACTTTTGTTCTCACTAGCTTTGAAGAAGTTGAGGATTCGATGAGAGTGGATACATTTTATTACCTTGTTCTGCAACTTATATTGGAGGTAAACACTTCTGAATTGCATAAATGTTACATCATGACCTACATTAATAAATTACCTACATCAATGTTGGTATTCTTGTGATCTGTGGCAACACTTTTAATAAACTAGACTGAATGTTTATATAAACGCTTTATTATAAATGTATCGTGCGTTATTTGACTTTTGCATAACAATACATTGTCGGTCGTATAAAATTCGAAACCAAACGAAATACTTATAAATAAACAAATAATAATAATATTCTACCACATTCACGCAACGCCATATACTTATAACCCGGCAATCTCGTGCGCGACCGTCCCGCGGGGTGACAGACAGTGGCGGGGGCGAGGTAGCGCGTCATTCTAGCACACGGCTACACACGAAGAGAAGCGTTTCCCTTCCCCGCTACACCACCCGCTACCCGCTGACATCTTGAGTACCTCGTCCCCGCCACCGTCTGTCACCCCGCAGGACGGTCGCGCACGACGTTGACGGACTATAGTTCCAAAACTAAGCAGAGCTGGTACTATGAAATGATGAAATGAAATGATATTTATTTCTGTAAGTAAAGAAGAATCTGCTGCTAGAATCAGCCGGCATTTCCTAAGACTCACTCTGGGAAGAAACGCCGAAACAAACCACAGAGGTGTCTTTTGGCCACCGTCTCCTTCTGCGAGCAAGTTATGCTAGCAAAAGGGATGGCGGAGCGGAACCGGGAGAGGTTTAGAATGGTGCGCCAGGCCCGGCAACGGGCTAAGTACCGCAGACGACTCAGGCGCCGGAGGTCACAGAATGACCTCCGTCCTCCATAAGCGCAGGCCTGGGGGTAATAGGTGAGGTCATCTGTCACCCTAGCAGAAGGGTGGTGGCGAGACATAGGGGTTCCCACACAGGGGTGGGGGTCATTTACACGCCGTAGATGGCCCGAGGTACGTCGGGGTATCAGAGATTTCCTTTCTAGGGTACACCTGGTTCCCCGGCTACTGGTACCCGAGACGGCGTGCGGTTTTTGGTCGGTTCGAGTCCGACATAACCACTGGTGGGTGGTATCCGTCGGGATTTCTGCACAGAAAAAGAAAAGAGATGTCTTTTGGCTTTTGGTCTTGGTGTCGTCTTTATGACTAGACAACTGATATAAATATTATACATACATATAATACATAGAAACACCTAGACCAAATCAAACATTAAATGTTCATGCACAAAAATGTTTGAATACCGAATACCGTAAGTAATCTAATATATACAAGTCACGACAACAATAAAAGAAAATATTCCATAATAGCTTTTGCCCGTGGCTCCGCCCGTACGTCGGTTTTCGCGGTAAAAAGTAGCCTCAAGAATCAGAGTATCTCCATGCCAAATTCCATTAAAATCGGTTCAGCGGTTTAGCCGTGAAAGCGTTACAGAAAGACAGAGTTACTTTCGCATTAACAATATTAGTGGAGATTTTTCAGTTTATTGACTTCATAGGTATTTTGCAATTACGTGAATGAAAACTTACATCGCCATTTGTATTAGAAATATAAAATGCTGAACAATATAGTGATTAAATCCCGTTTTAATTGTAAAAAAAGACATTGGCTTAATCAAATGTCAGAAATTCTTCATGTGTATCTTAGAATCAAGTATTTTCGTTAGAAATTTGTGCAAACAGAATGTCATAATAAATGCTATAAAAACAGCCTTTTGAAGAGAAATACGTGACTAAACAGAACTCACAAATAAGGCCCACTTAACTTTTTTTTTATATAATGCACTCGGAATGTATCCTGTATCGCAGGGGACTTTACAAACATACATGAAACACTTTACATCACGTAATCCAGAATTCGCGAGAAACGGAATGTAAATAAGTGTAGGTACAGCGCGCCTGACGAAAAGTGGTCGCTAATACTTAAATACTCACAACAACAAAATGGCATCACGGCAATCCACTCACCGGCAAAACACATAAATAGACTAGTAGGCGGCTTTATTTAAAAAATAGAGAGAAATTAAAATTTTAAAATAGGCAAAATGTTATGCTTAAACACATCATGTTTGCCGATAAAATATTTTTTTTATTAGTGGTTTTATCCTGATTTAAGTGGGCTTCGTCAATCTTAGGTGTCAGGCATACTACCTGTCCCCACCAGCAATTATTGCTGCCATGCTGGCGGGTGAGGAGGGCTGGGGCGCAGTCTCTTTCTGTATGGCTTTAATGCTCCAGAAAGAGACCGCTGAACGGGATCAGGAGAGGGCTGATACCGAGCAAAGAAGACGTCAGCGGCGGCGCCGGATTAGTTGCTGCGGTGGGATATAGAATGGCGGCCTGATCGCACTAAAAATATGTTTGGGCCGCAACATCTGGATAGGCTGATAGACAGGGAGAAGCCACTGTCTTCCCCTGAGATAGGGGATAGTAAGGTTCGACGATCTGGGGGGGGCGGGGGCTAAATCCCAAAGGAGCAGGCGATCCGAAGGGATTTGCCAACACGTCACCAAAAAAAATATGTCAGGTATGCTGTACCAGGGATTTTCTTCTTAGGGTACACCTGGTTCACCCGCTACTGGTACCCGAGACGACATGCGGTTTTCAGTCGGTTCGAGTCAGATATATAGTGGTATCCGAGGGGATCACCGCACAAAAAAAAGTTATTAAGTATGCTTAAATTTATCATAATATGTGTAATTTTAAATATGCTTTAAGGGTTTATAATAAACCGATTCTATAGTCAAGGCGTGAAAATATTATTAACAAACAAATCATATTATTATGTGCATTTGTAATAGCATTTATAACGCGTCAGTAAATTTAAGCGCCTGAAATATTTTTCATAGTAATAGGTTTTTTTAGCACTGTTTATAAACCGATTTTAAATTGGACCATATGGGGTTTATTAAGACCATTATAAATATTACAAAAGTATATAGTTTAAATATTTTCATTTTAAACTTTTAAGTGAATTGCCATAGCAAAAATGAAACGCAAATATAGTGTTACCAACTTCAATTTTCTCCAAAAAGTGAGAGAAAATTTCTAACTGCCGCAGTCTTTTTACGGCAATAAATGGAATGCATAAATTATTGCATGTGAAGTAACTAATATAATTTACTCATCAAATAAGATGCATCCGGTTTCTTGCTTATAATTTAATGTTGTATTCTTCAATTCTAAAACAGATAAATTACTTTAACAAATCGCAATATTTTACTCATTAATGTTTGTGTGTGTGTATATAGGGTAACCTATAAATAGTGTTTTATAAGAGTTTCAATTAACAAATTGAGTTATGTTTTGCAATTTTTCTAGAAGTCTGGAAGGATAGATTTATGAATTGACAACACTCAAATAAATATACAAATAAAGAGATGTCAAATTAGAAAAATACGCGCGCGTTTTCTTTTATTTCCAACAATTGCATTGATTACTTATATTGTTAAATCATTACAGAAAATCAATAGAAATATAATTTATTTGCATTATTTATCTCTTAATTTTACTTAAATGTCCACACAGCGCTGGGTACTTAAAGTATAAACAAATATTGAAGGTATTGATTTTTCAAATTTCGACACTTGCTTACGATTCATTTCAACGCTATTTTCATTTTTATTTCGGTGCCGATGTGTGGAAGTATTAGAAACGAATACGGAATTTTATTTACTGTTGTAAATTGCAGTTGGTGACGAAATGGCTAAGCAATTGGCTGATGTACAGTTTCACGCCGCCGAGGACGATGATTTGGAAGATATTGACGTCAATGTAGACCTGATTGAAGATGGATTGTATTTAGGTAAATTACACAGGGAATGCTTTGTTACTTAATAAAACCACACACTTACACACACTTTTGAATGAGCTTGACCTGTGTTAATCCACTTATCTCTGTGTAATGGAATATTTTAACCTGGTTTCGTTCGAATAACTTTTAAAATTGGCACAAATATCAAGGACCCATGACAGTAAAAGTCTCAAAAAATAAAATACAGTTGACAAAACCAAAATAATGGTATTTATGATATCCTACTAATTAAATAGTTATAAATATTGTTTTAAAGTATAAAATCATGGGCTACTTGGCAATAATTTAATATTTTATTAGTTAGATGTTTATATTAAGCCGAGAAATAGGTCAAAATATATTACTTTTTTTTTAACTCACCACCAGTGGTAGTTTTCACCTCAAATATTAAGGCTTAATTATTTATTCTCTTTGTAAATGATCATTACCATTACAAGTAGCCTTTAAATAATAAATAAAATATGGAAAATTTAGGCCTCCTCCTCTACCCTAAGTTTTTCCATATTTCCCTGATGCGGCTTTCATCCATGTTATCTCATCTATTATTTTAATTGTCCTGTCTTTATTATGACCACCTTTTCAGGTAACTTGGCCTGTGCAAGAGATTACAAGATGCTGGAGAAACTCCAGATCACTCACATCCTCACCATAGATGTGGTGCCATTACCCAGGACAATATTGGATCGTACCAATCTTACCTTCCACTATGTCAAGTGTAAGTAACTCACTTAACCATGTCTCGGCAAATATGGGTGGGTGTGACGGAGGGATATCAAAGATTCACAGAAAACCATTAGTAAGCAATTTCCTTATTGCTTTCTACCAAGTTAATAAGGTTACTGAAGTCAAACCAAGGGGGGATATTTGTGATACTTGAGTTTATTTATTTACAACTATGCACTTTTTGTACATCGCTGGACTTAATGCCCTGGGCATTCTCTACCAGCCAACCTTTTGTTGGTGTAGAAATCTGTTGAGGTAGGTGCACTGACGTTACAGTTGTAATATAAAATTACACACATATACATACACACATAACTATACATATATACATACCCATACATACCAATACTTTATATTCATACACTGTAAATAGGGAGGTGTACGAGTACTGTTGAGTATTGTAACTTGAGCTGCAAGAAACTTCTCTATATTTACAGGAACCTGAATGAATGTTAGCTATACCATCAGGGCCATCCATTAATTATGTCACACATACACTTTCTTTTGAACCTCTCAACTTATATATGATCTTACTTAAAATCTTCTTGTGTAGTGTAGGTCCATACAAACTTTTTAATCACTAATAGAATGTAGATTTTGGTCAATCAATTCAGAGGCCCTCGAAAACACTTGTTCTCCCCAGAGTAGGGCGACTAAAACCGGCCTTCTGGTTGGATTTTAGTGGAAACATTACATATTTCTGCATCGCTGCGAAACCCGGAAGATCTGAACTAATTTTTCGCACTGTCACCAAAATAAGGAGTGAAAGTGTAACATACAAACTACATCCGCTTCAAAAACATTTCCGCATTTTATTATAATAGGATATCTGCTTTGTATAAATACAATTTATGGTTTATCATCTACAGTGGCGGATGTACCGAAAGAGGATCTTATCAGCCATCTGCCTGAAACAAATGAGTTCATAAAACAAGCTATTGCTGATGGAGGAGTAGTCTTAGTTCACTGGTAAGTTACACTTTCCTTTTACTAGATCAATTAAATTAAGGGTTTGCAACCAGAAGTTCATCATTATATGGCAATTTAGTGAGAAAAGTGAAATCCTCACAGTTGGTACGTAAACCTCACAACATCACATCAACAGTCTTTATAGTCCACTGCTGGACACAGGCTTCTCCTTAGAAAGGTTTTGGCCTACTAAACCATGCTGGCCGGATGGGTTGGTATAGTGTTTGTGTCAAGATTTCCTTCTCTTTGCAGTGCTGTAGTTGTCCTGTGTAGTTTGTTCCCTTAGTCGGTTCTTACGACACGTCACCACATGGACAGTAAACGTAGACCTCAAACACTTACGATAGCCAGTCATTTTATAGACAGAAAATTCATGACCTTCAATTATATACTTACCAAGCGTAGCAGGTAAATTGAAAATAATATTTCCACTGTTCGCGCCATAGTACATCCTCAGGAACAATTCTGCATTCATCCATCCATAGAAAATCATGTCAGAATATGTTTGCAGGTTTAAAATCCCTGTGCAAACATATCCATCTGCAGAGAAAACTAGTATTCAAAGTACAGTATGCTCATCTTGGATACTGGTACCAAGTATAACATTTTAGTAGCCATTTCTAACCTTAACTTGCTATTTCGCCATGTTTGAAACTTATCCAATAAAAACTCATACAATTAGCAAGGGTGTCAATTAACATACACACAACAAGAACCTTAGTTTTTGATGTTGATTTAAAACTAGGTCTGTTCCAAATTCCAGCCACTATGGAGTATCCAGATCAGCTGCAGTAGTCATAGGATATATAATGGAGAAATACGGACTATGTTATGAAGACGCATTCATACTAGTCAAGAGCAAGCGACGGTTCGTTGGACCAAATGTTGGCTTCATTGCCCAGCTGAAGCTGTTTGGTCATATGGGCTACGCACTCAATAGGGATGATCCAAGATTTAAACAGTTTCGGTTGAAGTTGGCGGGGCAGAAGTTGAAGCAAGGTAATTGGTTTTTGTTGTGTCTTAATACTGTTCCTCCAGAAGGTTAGTTTCCAGGACTAGCCAATTCGAGGTATGTGTCCTAAAGCTTTTTGAGTTATTGCTTTTCTTTCATATCAACCTTTCCTTTCAATACATTGACTGTAATAGTATTACGTTCATCATCATCAACAGCCTTTACTAGTCCACTGCTGGACAGAGGCCTCTCTTTAGGTTTTGGAGTATTACGTTAGAGGCACTAAAATTATAGTTTATTTAAATTATACGATGTCAATCTTTATTTTAATAAATAATAATTTTATTGAGGCATTTGCATGCCTTAGATAGGTAGATAGTGGCGGAGATTAAGCAGCGGTAGCCTTGTGGTTAAGGCATTGGACTTGCGATCAAGAGGGTTCGAATCCTAAACAATAAACTACCGATGTTAACCCACTAGCAATTTAGCTTAGATGGAGGGATTAACGGGAATACTATTAATTTCGGTTGCTAGTAAACCTTTAAAAAAAAACCACTTGAAACAACTATATATTTCATAACACCATTGTAACAGTGATTTCTGCAAAAATAAATTTGATTTGGCAAACTGTAGGCCTAAAACACACCTCTGCCATCACCTTTGGGGTTACAGGTGGGAGTATGAAAATTTGTCTATTAAATTCCATGTTTTTTTAATATAAAGTGAAAATATTACAAACAAATTGGTTAAAAATTAAACTGGGCTTGTTATGTTTATCTCCAGTGAAGATCCTGCCTCAGCTGTTCGCAGACCTAGTCAAGCCAGACCCAGGGTTAGTGAGGGAGAAACCGGACCCCATTGTGTACCGCTGTAAGAAGTGTCGCCGAATCGTTGCCAGCCAGTGCAACATCATACCACATTTACCGAAAAGTGTTAAAGTTGAGCTGGCAAAGAAAGGTGATTGTCTCTTTTACTAAAAAAACGAAACCTACCACTCATCTTTTGACGACCGGATGGCATAGTGGTTTGTGTAACGGACTGCTATTCCAAAGGTCGCGGGTTCGATTCCCGCTCAAGTCAAACATTTGTGTGCATGAACATTTAATGTTTGATTTGGTCTGGGTGTTTCTATGTATTATATGTATGTATTTACAAAAAAAAAAGTATATGTATATTTATATCAGTTGCCTAGTACCCATAGTACAAGCTCTGCTTAGTTTGGGACTAGATGGCGTTGTGTGAATGTGGTACAATATTATATTATATAATATATTATCAATGCATAGTAGTCTCCTCCGACCATAGGGCTCTTCAGCTAGAAACATTAAACAGTGAGATGAGAATGAGTAGTCTTATGCCATGGTGGACAACAGTACTGGTCTACAGACAGACCTATTTTTATTATTATACTGCTAAATATTAGAACTCGTGGGAAAGAACTTTCTTCCTACAAAAGAGCGCTGAAAAATTTGCTGAACTACTACAAGCATGATGATGCAAAGAAAAAAAACTGGCTAGTAAGTTTACCAGAGTCAGGTGAGGAGGTGAGGAGTTATCAACATAATGTGTGACGTCACTTGTATTGTGAAATCAGCAGGCTGTAAGAGTAGTGGAAGTAAAACTATGATTAAATTGTTCTTTTATGGATATGAGGCGTCAATGTGTCTTGCTCTGACATTTCTAAGGTGGAAAGGGGTTTAGTGGCTTTTGACTTGACAGTCCTGGTGAGGAGTACATGAGGTTACAAGAAGGCACTCCATTAAAATCGCTTTCTCATCATAATCATTTTACCTTACTGTCCTCGACTTCTAAAATATGAATCTTTCATCAGAAGAGCTGTGTAACATTTCTTAAGTTACTCGTCTATTTTGCAGGTATGCGACCTCCACCCAGCAAGTTAACAGGTCTGACTTGCGCAGAAAATGGGGAGATTCTCTTAGAGAAACTAAAGAGTTTAGCAGCACAGATCATGGACATAAGTTGCGATGAGTCGTGTGAGGACAGTCCTGGACAGAGTAACCAACAGTGTAGTGATGAAGGCCCCAGTCAGGTGAGCTGTTTTAGTTACTAGATAGTACTAGGGTCAATAAGAGAATTCACATTACATCAACAGCCTTTAATAGTCCACTGCTGGATATAGGCCTCTCTTTAGAAAAGAGGTTTAATAAGAGAATTATTAGATAATAATTAAATATAAATTTCCAGTGGACGCAAATTTACTGTCAGTATCGAATCGAAGAGTCGAAAATCATTGGAATTTTCTGCTGGAAAATTAAACTTTTTATGCAATCAGCTACCAAAGGTTAAGGTCATTCCCCGTAGGTATCGCACAAAATTAATAACTACATGTGTATTCCGTGCAAACAATCTACACACACAAAATGGCCGGAGGGAAGGCCCGCGCGCTTCGGCTGTTTGATTAATTACACTGCAGTTTTTTGGTATTTATTAAATTGTTTTCGGTAAAATGCTGTCTACTCATTGTGATACCATTTTTAACCAGAAAAATGGAAATAAAAATGAGATGAATTTTCTGGCAGAAATTTTCAATGATATTCGACTCAGACTCAGAAAGCTGTCGAAGGTGTTTGCTTGTACCATTCGGCTTTAAAACCAATCAAGTACTAAGCAACAAAATAGTTTTCTTGTTTTTATTTATTGCTACTTACCTATAAATGTAATCTGACTTATCCAGGTTCTAGACGGCTACAGCGAAACGAACATGGTGGACGGTCACATAGCGGCGCGGGCGGATCTGCCCGAGATTTGTCGCCTCATGTGGTTCGTGGAACCCATGGCATGGATGCGTGACGTCACTCACCAGCACAGCGGAAAGCTCCACTGTCCCAAGTGCCTCAACAAGATAGGCAGCTTTAGTTGGATCATGGGTATGTTTTAATACTTTTATACAGCACTAGATGTACCCTGCTACGCATCGCTGTGGCTCATTGTTAGTCTTGATGTGAAATGTAGAACAAAAAATAGATAAAAACAATCTTGAAGCGGGTTGTATATCATGACACAATTTGAGTCCAATTAGTTTAGAACTTTTTGAGTTTGAAGCATACAAAAGCCAACTTAACATTTTTATTTATGTATGGATATTAGAAGGTTTATAGTAGCTGCATAATGTGTATGTTTTGTCAGTTGGGAAGAAGTGTAACAAGCCGACTATGCTATGTGATCATGCCTAACAGATGCTTCAACGATTTATGATAGAAACATGTATTGTGCGATGCAGCGTCAGAAGTAACTAGTTCAGTTTTTCTTCGTTAGATGGCGCTGAAATATATATCATGTCTTTTACATTTAAATTTTCTTAACTTCACTGTTGAACTTCCTTGTTGTAGGTTGCAAATGCCCATGCGGTCAGAAGGTGGCGCCCGCTTTCTACTTGGTGCCTTCCAAAGTGGAGTGGTCCAATATAGTGCAGAATGTACAGATTACAGTGTAAATATAAACAATTATAAAGTGAGATAGCATTATATTGGAAAAGCTATTAGATACAGAATGTTACATAATTAATGGGACCCACAATACAGCTTTGGGGTATTCAATACATTAACTGTTAGCTGAGTTATATAATAATGACTTGTTGTAAGCATGATTGGATTCAAAAGACCGGTATAACCTTCAAACTACATAATGTAATAATAAAAAATTAAAATTTTTTAATATATTGTGTTGTGGGTTTGTTTTAAAGAAAATAAAACTAAAAATTAAACTGGTGGCATCAAATAGAAACAAAGTAACAAAATAAAAGTCTCGGGCGCCAGATACCACCTTAAAAGAACTCAGAACCCACCACAAACACAACAAATACCTCGGACATCTCAGCCAGCGTTGAACCTTTTTAAAACAAAGCGGGAGGCAGCTAATGAATACAAGATGTTAAGTTCTAATGGCAGTTTATTATCCCGTAGTGTCTGTAGAGTACAATGTGTCTTATGTCTCTAATTACAATAGGTAATTCTCATACACAAATTAGTACTGTCATTAATGCAATCCTTTCCAATAAGAAAAATATAAGGTTAAATAAATTTTAAAGAGTCACATAAAGACTAAATAGACAAAACAGTAAACTCTAAGGGTAGACATAGCATTGACCTACTCTCTAATGAAAAATAACACCCCTTGGGGACCTGCAGTGTTCAATGCCACGTCGCCAAGAAAAATATAACAAAACTACATACCGATGACCTTGGATCAGTCCGAATGAAATGAAATCAAACCAACTCCGAAACTTCTCACTCCGGCTCCCACGTGGTGGAAAAGGCGGGTCAGCACTCCCCGGCTCCAGACAATGGCGTGCAGCTAAGCAGCTTTTTCTACCAATCCGGTGCTCCACAGCAATCTAATTTCTTGGGGTCAAACTCCGGCGAGAGACAAAAATCCGAATGCCACGCAATGACATTCCAATAAGAATGTAAAGAAATTTAGGTATAAAAGGAAAATAGAGTATAATTAAAACTTCAGATATAAACCAAAAACCCTGATTCATCAGGGTCCCAAAATGTTTCACAAATCAAGCAGCGGCATTATAAGCATTATAAGCATTGCCTTTTCAACAAAAATAATCACTCGAACCAATAGCTCGAGTCCTAACTAGGTTGGCCAAACATTTAAAGAGGAAATAGGCCCTCGTCCATAACAAATAAATACGGATTACTAAAAAATTAAATGACAAAACTTGCTTTGCTTCATTTCACTCGGCGGCCGGTCCAAAAGTGAAGCCAAGGTGATACCAGTGCAAAAGCTTGTCGCTCCATAGAGCGGGGAAACAAAAATGTTGCCAGGACAAGAAAAACTAAATCGACTAACTAATCGCGGGCGAACAACATCGATTATTACTCTCGTCCGTCCCTCGACCATCGGCACACGCAGAAACGACAAAAAATTCAACCTAACAAAACAAAAACGAGACTAAGGTTCAAATTACTGTAATGGTGCGAAATGCACCGTTACAATAATTTAGCCAATACATGAAGAAAAGCCGTGTAATTGTATTGAATCATTCTTATTTGTGTACTTAGAACATATCGTTTTAAGTCAAAAGCTTCAGCTGTTTCAACAATATAAATTACCTAATTTTCTTTGAATGAACTTAATATTGATTTACAATTAATATTAAATTAATATGAAATTATATGAATATTGAGAAGAGGAATTAAATCGCAGATTAGATAAAATATGGAATATAGAAGTGGAAATCAAAAGGAAAGAGAAACGAAACACTGAAAAAGATATCAGTAGTTGTGGAAGACAGATAAGTGGACTTTTTGATTTATTAAAAATGGACACTACCTATATGTTTAACGCGTTCAAAATAGAAGCAATTTTATATCACATCAACAGCCTTTACTAGTCCACTGCTGGAAATAGGCCTCCCCTCAGAAAGGAGGTTTTGGCCTAGTATTTTATATACCACATGAAAAATACAGGTTGGCTCGTATTTGAGTGACGTCACCGGCCAAACTGTCCAGTTAATAACGGAGTAGTCACCCAGATTGACTGATATTGTGGTAACGTCATCACCATAAACTGCCCCGTTAATTACGGAATCATCACAGGAGGTGATTTATCCTGGAGTGACGTCACCGCTCATAACTGCCAGTTTAACAACGGGGTATAACTCAAAAGTGTTAAAATATCAAACATTAAGTTTTCGAGGAAACAGGATATTTAGAGATTACATTTTCTATAGTAACTATTCTCCTAATTGTGGTGAGTGCAATGTAGTATAGTATTGTAAAGAAGGATTTGTTATGTAGCGAATTATTTACTCCAATAATGAATAATAAATAACTAATACATAATAAGATGTGAAAATCGGGACTTACTAGTGATAATATACAAAGGAAATATCCTTCCATCAGAGGTGATCATCCCTGTAGGACAGCTGCTTGCATGTTAGGAAGTTGTATATACATATATGGTGTTACCACACTAGGTTTCCCGAAATATTTCTATCGAATCGCACAGATGACCTAGTGTGAGTTCATTTCACATTAACTGAGAGGCGTAGTTGTTTGACCGGTCGCCACGCTGTTTCCTACTACGCTGTGTTGTGGGTTCGATCCCCATATGGGACGACACTTTGTGTGATCCTGAGTCTGGGTGTTCTTTGTGTCTGTTTGTAAAGTCCTTCGCGATACAGGATATGTTCCTAATGCAAGGGTTGTCTTAAAAAAAACGCTTTCGACAGCCACTGCATTCTGCGTTGCCATTTGTGAAGAGATTATCGCGTACAGTTGATGTGAAATGAACTTACACCAGGCCCCAGATCACTAGTGGACTGTTGAGAGGACAGAGGCGCCTGATTTCGTCTTCATTATTGATTTGTAACATATTTCTGTGGAAGTTAGTTCGTGGAACGGACAAAAGTTTTGTATATGATAGTGTTTTTTTTATTAACGTTCGTACTTCGACTATTAGGCTCATTCTAGTGTATTCAGTAATTCAACAATAGAGTATTCAGTAATTCCCGTAAAATTAAATAAACAAATCCAGTAATGAATGTTACAATATTGTTGAATGATGGCTTGTATAGATTGGAAAAAAATATGTTAAACTATGTGTGTTTTTTATTATCATTGCAAATTTTGCAGTCAAAGTTCTTAACCAGTTAAAAGTACATTTTATAAAGCACAGCATACAAAAATACAACAAAAGTTAAAAACAACATGCACAAAGAAACTAAAAACCAAGCAAGGTTTGATAACGGCAACATTTTGTGTGTGTCAATCTTTCATTTCTGACAGAACTGACATGACACGTCAATGTGCCACGTATCCAACCACGCGTCTTTAAAATTTCCTTATAATAACTATATAACTACTTATCAACCTGTGTACCATAAAAAAACCTTTGTTGCTGAGGATTGTACGCCGTGCTTCAGAAAAAAGGCGGACCCTCAGTGTACACTGTGGTGCATAGATGACACCTCAGTACTGATTTTCAGTGCCCACCTTAGTTGTCGCCCTGATGCCAACAGTCGCAGTTGCATTTGACTGAACTTTTGAAAGAAGCTGGTTAATTGTTTTTTAATATCAACTAAAATATTGAAGGTGTGGCAAATTTTATAACGTTCTAGAACAAATATTATTATTTCTTTTTGTAATTTTGTCATTTTAACTAACTGCTATATTCTATGGGACTATTGTGAATTTGACTATATTTAAATACAAGTTTGGACATGGTTCTAACACAACGCAGACAATTTTCCCTCTAAAATAGTTACGTCACTAACAGATTAATTGACGGTTCTCCATATTTCCAAATTGACAGCTGTCAGTTTCTTAATCTGTTCGTGTCGTAACGGTTCTGGTTGGCTTTACAGTCACGTAATAATATATAATATAGCCGTTTGGCATCCATTTCAATATATTTATTATACCATGTTAAAAACTGTCGTTTCCAAATACCGTATTCAATTTATCTATAATATGTATAGGTATATTTATCAGCAGTCTGGTTACTACAGTAAAGACTGCCCAATTCGGGCCGGCCAAAATAATCACATAGGACGGTGATAGGCACTATGTCATGACACCCATAACTTAGTGTTGAAGCTCCAACTGCTAAACATGCATCAAAGATAAAAAATAAACAAGGATGGGTAGCTGTAAAATATAAATGGAATTAGTACTTACCTGTGGTTAGTGCCCATTTGGTTAGGAACCCACAATGATTGTTTACATAGATAAAACAATAAAAAAACAGTTTTATATAATATATATATTATGCATTTAGAGGGTCCGAGTGGGAGAGAGGGTTTCGCTCAGGTAATATCCTTATTTTCTACGAAAACGGGACAACAATAATGTTATTACTTCTCCTTTTTTTTCCATGATTTTCTCGACAGTTAAATGTCCGACAGTACAGATGAGTTCAGTGTATGGTACGTCCGTCCCTATGCATGCGCGGTATGTCGTGCAGAGCGAGACGGTGTGCACGCATGAGATGCGACTTGCGCTTCCAGCTGTCGGCGAAGGCGCGGGAACAACCGGGGCACTGGAACGGCAGCTCCCCAGTGTGCGTGCGTGCGTGTCGAGCCTGACATACAAAATGTACTATGACCATCTTCATTGACCTGCGTTTTCTTTGTGTGTACTTTACTACCTATAGTCCATTCGCATTAAAGTCGTGGGTCGATTCCCACCCAGGACAAATAATTGTGTGATGAGCACGGTCATTTGTTCTGTAAGTCTAAGTGTACTTTATCTTTAATATGTATGTATAGGTAACATAGTACATCATCATCAACAGCCTTTACTAGTCCACTGCTAGACATAGGCCTCTCCTCTCTCTCCTCTAGAATAGATGTTTTGGCCTACTTTACCACGCTGGCCAGACGGGTTGGTATAGGGTTTGTTTTGAAGTTTTCCATAGTACATGATAATAAATAATATTGTCACACCTCTCACTCACAGCCACCTGATCCCAAACTAGACAGAGCCTGTACTATGGTAACCAGACTGCTGATAAACATACTTATATATTTCTAAATACATAGTACGCTCAGTATAGTACGCTCAGACACAGAACAAATGACCATGCTCATCACACAATTATTTGTCCTGGGTGGGAATCGAACCCACGACCTCTGGCGTAGCGGTATTCTTATTATTAATTTAACTAGCCTTGACAAACTACGTTCGTTATATAAAGTAATAAGTAGGTACAATAATAACTGCTTAGTAAAAACTATTTTATTTTAATGGTTGATTTATCTCCTTCACTCCTAAGGGTTAATTTACAACTAACAGTGTACGGTGTAACTCACCAGGCCGCTGGCGTCGTAAAAGCCTTTGTTGCAGTCCTTGCAGACGTAGATCCTGGCCAGGCGGTGTATCCGCTGGTGACGTTTCAGACTGGATGCTACTGAAGACCGGAAGTTGCACTCGTTGCACGAGTAAGGCTTGTCACCCGTGTGCTTCCGCATGTGAACTTCGAGGTTACCCGCTGAAATTGTTTAAAAAAAACTTCTATCAAGTAAGATGACTGGGCCAACGGTTGATATTGTTTCTTTTTTGTGTAATAGGGAAACCAGGTACGCGTGGTGACAGATTAAAAATACGGAGTGTCACCATCCCTGTTCATCACGTTGGTGTCGTAAGAGCCGACTAAGGAAGCAAACTCTACAGGATAACAGAACTACACTACAAGCCGTTTGGCCAGCGTGGTATAGTAGGCTAAAACCTCCTTTCTAAGGAGAGGCCTATATCCAGCTGTGGACTAGTAAATGCTGTTAATAATAATGAGGCAAATCAGCAGACTGGTCGCCTCATGGTAAGCGCCTACCGTCGCCTATAGACATTTGCAACTGAAGAGACACAAATGTGTTACCACCCTTCGTCTGCCCGAGGATAAGGAGGGATGAGGAGGCCCCTTCCTACTGCGCTGGGTGTTGTGGGTTCGATCTCCACATGGGACAACACTAGTGATTCACAAATCGTTGTTTTGAGTCTGGGTGTTCTGTGTGTGTGTTTCATAAATGTGAGTAGGTATAGGATACAGGATATATTCCTAGTGCGGGGATTGTCTTTTTTACACGCTTTATATTGCCTTCACTTGTATGTTTGTTTGTATGTTTGTAACCGACTCCTTTGGGCGTGATTTTGACTGACTTTAAACGGTCAGAATTCGTTCAAACTTTGTAGATATATCGAGGACCGATACCAATACATTAATTTAAAAAAAAACAAAAAAAAATAGTTTAAAAAAACTAAAAAAACAAGCTTCCTAAACAAACAGGCACCCAACGCTTTTATTCAAATCTATTTTCTATTTTTTAGTTTGGTTTTCTATAGAAAGCGTGTCTTTTAGTTTTTTAAAACTAATTTTTTTTTTATTAGAAAAAAAAACAGATTTTTCTCGTTGAAAAGCAACTAAAGAATTACCACTCCGGTCGGGTCGTCCTATAAGCTCGCAAAGTTAAGCAACCCTAGCGAGGTCAGTCTATGGATGGGTGACTTTGTTTAACTCTTTTAGACTCCTCCGTGTCTCAGAGCGTACGTTAAGCCACTGAGGCAATAGTTGCGGGTATTTGGAGCCCTAAAAGATCAAACAATTTTCTACAGAACTTCGATATCGCCTAGTACTTGATTGTGATGGTCTGATGGTCGTCGCTTCACGAAAAAAATCGAGAAATCGAGTTTGAAATCGTCTTTCATGTAGACTCTAAAGTCATAGATCAACACACACAAAAGCAACAATCTCTGTTTTGTCAAATAGTAAACAAACAAATTTAACTTATACAAAATCTATGATATAATAAATAACTAGCTGACCCGGCCACGCGTTGCTGTGGCTAAAGTTTTTGTTATATTACATTATAGTAAACAATCTAAGAGGAACAATAAGAGAACATCAGTCACGGAGTCCACTATGCTTTTTCACACAGATGGTATTTGTAAAAAAATATGGTGATCTCCTTATTTGACTTTCTACTACTATAACCCTTTAGTACAATGAAATTATTTACGAACAAAGACGAAAATGTTGATGTTCGTATACAAATTCACTGGATTGAGATTTGAAGGGGAAGTACATTGAACACAATTAATTAAAATGTTCTTACACTTGATATTAAGCAGAAATCAATAGGTACAAAATAAAAAATTATCAGATTTATTATTTCCATTTAATTTTATAACAAATATAAGTATATTACAGTATAATACAGTAAATAACATGTAACGCTTAAACTCATGAATGAGGTAGGCAAGGCAGACAGTCTTAAACTTTTAAACATTAATATCTATTTTTTTGAATTATAAATACTTTCAATTTAAACTTAATGTAACACCAATCGGTGCACAATGTTTTTGGTTAACCTGTCTTTAGCTAACACAAATAGATTCGACGGTTTCCCAACACGTGAACACGCAACATATAGTTGCCCATGAGAAAAACATGGATTTTCCAAATCTAAACCACAAATGGACATTGTTTGACCTTGAGATTTATTTATAGACATGGCGAAAGCTAAACGAATTGGAAACTGTAGCCTTTTGAAGGGTATGGTAGAATCTGATGGTATCACCGGAATACGTGGCAGCAGGACCACTTTTCCTTTAAACTTCCCAGCCAAAATGGTTGCTTCAAGAATGTTTCCGGTGATCTTTTTGATGACCAAACGCGTACCGTTACATAATTGAGGTGGATTCAAATTACGGAGGAGAATAATAGGGGAACCAATCTTTAATCGAAGATTATGTGGTGGCATTCTAGGGATATCTAATGAATTTAAAAATTCAATCGGAAAATTTACACTTTCATTTTCATCAACAACAGTATCGATTGATTTAAAAGACATCAGATCGCCTGGTAACAACTGTTGTATCTGGAAGTTAATTTCGTCAACATCAACGTTTTTGGCTGCCAAAATCGCCCGTTGACTAAGCCATTCATGATTCAAATAATTATTCTGTATATCCGGGAAAATACTCTGAATCAATTCATTTTTATCCTGAACAACAGTGCAAAAATTGTCTGGTAGTTTAATGCATTGCGTATTTGGTTGCAGTTCTATTTTACCGTTCCCAATATCTAGTAGTTGTTCGGAAAATATTTGTGCTGGTGGATCATTTTGCAATTGTACTCGCATATTTATGGTCAATCGAAGTGTTTCAACACTTCGCCATAAGAATGATTGTTTCAAACATGCATTAATCTCATCCGCGAAAGTAGAGCGAGTTATAACCGGTAAGGTCTGCCGGAAGTCACCAGACAAAAGTAAGATAGCACCACCGAAAAGTTTATTGTTGCTGTTTAAATCTTGTATAGTTCTGTTTAATGCTTCAAGTGAATATTTGTGTGCCATTGTGCACTCATCCCAAATTATTATAGAACTCTTCCGCAACACTGCAGCTATTCCACTATTCTTTTTGATGTTACACATTGCATCTGGTTTATTATGAACGTCCAATGGCAGCTTGAATGTTGAATGTGCTGTTCGCCCACCATCCAGTAAAGTAGCCGCAATGCCTGACGATGCTACTGCTAATGCGATTTTTTGTTGCGACCGTATTTTGGCAAGAATCAACGATATTAAAAATGTCTTACCGGTTCCACCGGGTGCATCCAAGAAAAAAAAACCGCCTTGTTCAGCAGCAACAGCCAGCATAATCCGATCATAAATAATTTTTTGTTCTGCTGTCGGTAATGGTTCACTGTTCATGATAATTGTTGCTAAACTTCCATGGTCATATTGATTTTCTCGTTGTAAATCGGTATTGACTAAGTCGGTGGCTGGACGATTAGGTGATGGCATACCATAATGATTAAGTGGTAAATTTGAAATAAGAACACATAAATCCTCGATCAAGACCAATGCTTCATTGTACATCTCTGGTGTATAATCTATGTTTTGGCATTGATTTGTTTGTCTAATTCGGTGCAAGATGTCTTCTGTCATACAATTTTTATATTTTTCCCACAAAGTTTGTGCTTGCGAGGGATAACATGTCGTCAAAATAATTGCAAACAACTGACGAATGTTATTCGGTGTTGATGTCAACGCAGCATCAGCAAGCGTTAAGTCCCAATGGTTATCGTCTTCTAGCAATTGCAGTTCACGACATGCATCCTGGTATGTATTGAATACTCGACCATTAACTGTTCGTAAAAATTCAAAAGACGTTGGTCCGGGAACATTCACCAATAACAAACGTAAATAGAAGCACTCACGTTGCTTTGGATGTACCGTGTAAAGTCTCCCCAATGTCTTAGCTTTGAATATGCCTGTAATGGAAGGATGTGGTTTTCCTTGTTTCCGTGGCTCCCATTTTTTACTGGATTTGTTCCATGTGAAATAACGTGGAACATCACCATACACCAATGTCTTCGCGAATTGGCCAAAAACATCAGGTTTTTGACACAATGTTAAAAATTCAGTTATAGTCGTTTTCGGAGCTTCGAACGCTCTTTGGAGAACATTTTCTTCAGTGAAGTATACACGTTGACCGTTTTCAAGATGTATTGCCAGATGTTGGACAGCAGGATCTCTTTCGTGGATGGGAAAGCTGAGAATATGCCAAATAGCTTCATTGCTGCTAATGTATCTGCCCATTTGGTATCGTGCTATTTCGTCATTTTTATTTATGTTTTGTACTTCAAATATGGCCAAATCACTGCCTTTGTTTACATATTTACAAATATACTTAATTGATTTAACAGAACTGCAAAGCTCAACATTGATATGAGCTTTGTAAGTTTTTGAAAGTAGTGGTGAGTATGGTACCATCCACTGATTATCAAACTCAACTTGATTTGGAAAGTTCGGCAGTCGCATTGTAAATGTGTGGCCACCATTATCAGTTATCACCATTATCAGGCGATACATTGGATAACCATCAATATCCGTGATCGTGTCATTCGTATGCGGCTTTGGGAACTTTTTTTTACATTTTCCATTTTCCATGCACGGTGACGTCATGTTGAAAGCACCGCATGGCCCATGGATCATGTGTTTGGTGACAATATCAAATAATTTTTGATCAATTAATGGGTCTGGAATTTCGGCTGAAATTATTTGATCGATTTCTTTGAGCTGCATTTCTTGTTTCGATTTGTTCTGGTAATTGCTGAGCTCTTTCAACACGTTTGCGTCGTGACCCATTGCTGCTCGCGTTGTTGAGGTTAGATTTTTTCGGTGGCATTTGACTGAAAATAATAATTTAATCGTTTAAATATTAGAAAGAGGAACTGAAAAACATGTTATCATAGCACATTGAAATAATAAGTGCAAAATAATTTTCAATGGAGGTTAAATAATTAAATAATTAGTTTTAAAAATTTTTTTGTACAATTATTGAAAATGTGTGGGGAGCTTTGTGCCATTTTCTCATTGATATATTAATTAACTTTTATAAAACTATGTGATATTACTTACATTTATAAATTGAAATTATTGTTCCTGTGCTCCTACTGTGTGTCTCGTTCTCCTGCTGCTCTTGTTCTTTTATAATATGAATTCAATTTACACTTCAGTCTAAGTAACACGTGGCCGGCTATGCTAACACCAAATATTTAAAAAGTGGAAATAATTGAATTATACGGTATTTCGTTCACTACAAAATAAATTTAATTAATTTTATAGCGTCAACAACACGTGGTAATTATGCTGTTAAAATGTAGCTTATATGACACGTTCGTAGATTTACCATAGCAGCGCCATCTATTGATTACTTACTCAACCCAGTCGAAAGGTATCGACAAACACCAAAAATTTAAAAAGTGGAAATAATTGAATTATACGGTATTTCGTTCACTACAAAATAAATTTAATTAATTTTATAGCGTCAACAACACGTGGTAATTATGCTGTTAAAATGAAGCTTATATGACACGTTCGTAGATTTACCATAGCAGCGCCATCTATTGATTACTTACTCAACCCAGTCGAAAGGTATCGACATCTGTTAGAAGCATTTGGAGTTAACAGATAATTGTGACTGTCAAATAATAACAGACAAATAATTAGCAATAAATTAAAATTGCGACTATAATTTGAGATTTAAACTATCCTATCTCTCAAGTTGGATCGAACTGCACATGATGTGCGAATTTTATTATAATCGGTTAAGTGGTTTAGGAGTCCATTGAGGACAAACATTGTGACACGAGATTTATATATATTAAGATAATAATAACCTCACACATCTCACACACGGCCGTCTGATCCCAATCTAGGCAGAGCCTGTGCTATGGTAACCAGACTGCTGATAAACATACTTATATAGTTTAAAATACATACATATTATAGGTAAATTACACCCAGACACAAAACAAATGACAGTGCTCATCACACAATATTTATCCTGGGTGGGAATCGAACCCACGACCTCCCGGCTTAGCAGTCAGGGCCACTAACAACTAGACCAACAGGCCCATTAATGTTATGCCTGTGACGATCTACAACCGACCGTTTCCAAGGTGTAAGCCTTATGAGAAGAAAGGGCAAACAAACTCATGGCCCGGGTTCTCCCTCAAGATTTAAAACCGCCCCCAAACCTAGTTTCGGAAGAAGATTTACATACTGAGATAAAATATGGTGTAAATAATAACTAAAAGAGCGTACTCCTTCCTAAAAGGCCGGCAACGCGTTTGTGACTCCTGAGTTGCAGACGTTCATGGGCGGCGGTGGTCACTTTCCATCAGGTGATTCGTCTGCTCGTCTGCCCCTCTAACATAAAAAAAAAAAACTAAAAAATGATGTTCACCTCGGGCGAAACTCCATCCACAGAAGTAGCACAGGAACGGTTTATCGCCCTCGTGCAAGCTCACGTGTGTCTTCAGCACGCTTTTGAATTTAAACCTGGAATACATACAATCAACTGCTAATTAACTAGATTATATCCTTCTCGATATCTTCTCTTGCTCTAAAATAATAAGTCTTTACCTATGAAATTGCCGTTTTGTATGCAATAAGTGAAAGTACTTATTTTTAGTCCGTGTAGTGACGGATTAAGAATACGGAATGTCACTACCCCAATTCATCCCGTGGGTGTCGTAAGAACCGACTAAGGGCGCAAAACAACGCAGGACACCAGCACTGCAAAAAGAAGGAAAACTTGACACAAACCCTATACCAACACGTCTGGCCAGCGTGGTATAGTAGGCCAAAACCTCCTTTCTAAGGAGAGGCCTATGTCCAGCAGTGGACTGTTAAAGGCTGTTGATGATTGATGATGACTTTTTTTTCAAACTTTTTTATTTCTGTTATTCGAAGTAATCACCCATGCAATCGACGCATCTTTGCCAACGCATTGGCAGTTTATTGATGCCCTTGATGCTCTTGTAAAAATCAGCTGGACGGGAGGCAACAAACTCTTCAAAGGCATTTTGTACTGCCTCTCGGGAATTGATTTTTTTTTACAAAATGATGCGTCGATTGCATGGGTGATTACTTCGAATAACAGAAATAAAAAAGTTTGAAAAAAAAAATTACTTTCACTTATTGCATACAAAACGGCAATTTCATAGGTAAAGACCTATTAATAAGAGAAGTAACGCTTTAAAAGTAGATAAGAAGTAAATTTGATAATGGAAGACAATTCAGGCTGAGCTTTAAGAAGATGTTACATTTAATGATGACGACCAAATAGTGTAGTGGTTAATGTAACGGACTGCTACGCCAAAGGTCGCGGGTTCAAATCCCGCTCAAGTCAGACATTAAATTCTCATGCATTTATTATTTGATTTGGTCCGGGTAGTTTCCATGTATAGAAGATATGTATACATTACATGTATATTTATATTTTTTTTAAAAGACAATTTATTAGGAATAAGTAGGTATATCTGGGACTTTACAAACATTCCTGAAACGGACACAAAGAACACCCAGACTCAGACCAACAATTTGTGGATCACACAAAGTGTCGTCCCATGTGGGGTTTGAACCCACAACACTCGGTGTAGCAGGACGCGGCTTGGCGACCGCTTAAACCACTACGCCATCCGTGCAGTCAGTATATACATGTACTTATATATTTACAAAAAATATATAAGTTGTCTAGTACTCATAGTACAAGCTATGCTTAGTTACTAGGACTAGATGGCGTTGTGTAAATGTGGTAGAATATTTTAAAAAATGGTTCAGGTGAAATAACTCATTTCAGACCTTTTTTGGTGACGGGGTGGCAAATCCCTTCGGATCTCCGACTCATTGGGGGTATAGGAGCCAGGAGTATGTAAAAACCACCCCGACGGGCAGCCTTAGGCGCCCTACTCTAGGGAGAACCCGGGCCATGTGATTTCAGGTCCCCCCAGGTTAATGCACCTAACTAGGACCTATCTCAGGACAAATCATCTGCCTATCAGGGCAGCAATTAATCTGCCACCAGAGGTCACCAATCTCTGTCGACCCGCGGGCCCGTCTTCTTCGCTCGGGATCGGCCCTCTCCCGATCCTGTTCTGGCGCATTACAGCTTCACAGAAAGAGACTACTGCGCTCCAGCCCTCCTAAAACTCATTTTAGACCTAGGAATCTACCCTCCTGTTAGTTATTGGTTAGTGATTGTGGAGGATTTATTTGTCATTCATTTCATTTAATTTATGGCATCTGTAAGATCGAGGTTGATCGGAACTGAATTTTGACCGCACTTCTATCTATACTTCTATCTATCTTCTACGCAAATATATTATAAGTATAACAAAAATCTTCTGGTACTGTATTTGTATATTCACAAGGTGAAAACTGTAGTTAAACCTAAACAATGTAAATTCCGTTCATTATATAAAATCAAAATAAACCTTTGTTATTGTGACTAGATAGTCTGTGGTTTTTTATTGAGAATTTATTTTAGCAACGTTCATCATCATCATCATCATCACCAACAGCCTTTACTAGTCCACTGCTGGACATAGGCCTCTCCTAAGAAAGGAGGTTTTGGCCTACTATACCACGTGGGCCAGACGGGTTGGTATAGGGTTTGTTTCAAGTTTTCCTACTCTTTGCAGTGCTGTTGTTCTGTGTGGTTTACTCCCTTAGTCGGCTCTTGCGACACCCACGGGTTGAATAGGGGTGGTAACACTCTGTATTCTTAATCCGTCACCACACTGTCGTAACGTTAGTTTAGAAATATATTTTATTTCCGTATATTTAACTATTCAGTCAGCGCACGCGCATGAACCAGCCCAGGACCGGTTATTGTGGCAAATCTTGGGGAGGCCTAGGTCCAGAGAAGGAGAAGACACGCATAAAGCAGTACTGGAGCAGATTTTCTTTCAACTTACTTAACAAACATTAGTATTTAATGTTAACTGAGAGATGTAGCCCAATGCTAGATAACTTATATTATTCCTCATGAACCTGGCTATAACACACAAAAAGAATTTTTTAAATCTGTCAAGTTCTTACAGAGAATAGATCGTTTAAAAAAACCTCAACAGTTAAACATTACTATAAATTACCCAAAAATTAATTTATGTAATCCTAAAAACAGTAATGCCTAAAAATGTATGAAGTGACCTTGAAATGTATGACATAACAGCCGCCTCGTCGTATCTCCGAGGTCAAGGTCACCGAAGTTTAGTGGGTAACTAGGTCACGGTCGGCTCTACACTAAATTTAACTGAGCCGAGGTTCTTTCTATCTCGTACGTATCAAGGTTCGAATTGTCAAATTTAATTTTTTTTTTTAGCATTTCTGTTTTTGCAGTTTTAAAATAATTTTAAATATTTAGACTCAAACCAACCATAGCTTATTACAGCCTTTTATGAATGTTTAGCATAGTATAGGTACACTATAAAGATAATACCATCATCATCATCAACAGCCTTTACTAGTCCACTGTTGGACATAGGCCTCTCCTTAGAAAGGAGGTTTTGGCCTATTATACCACGCTGGCCAGACGGGTTGGTATAGGGTTTGTGTCAAGCTTTCTTTCTTTTTGCAGTGCTGGTGTCCTGCGTTGTTTTTCGCCCTTAGTCGGCTCTTACGACACCCACGGGATGAATTGGGGTAGTGACATTCCGTATTCTTAATCCGTCACGACACGGACGGGATAATACCAAATAGATATAATAATGCAAATGGGAATTGAACCCGCGACCTTCATATCAACATAGCTGACCCGCACAACTTCCTCTCCCTCTCTTATAGAGGAATAATTTTTTCCCGTTTTTGTAACATTTTTTATTGATGAACCGCTCTTACAGGTCGTAACGTGATGGTATATATATATATATATATTATATATATATATATATACATATATTTCCTCGATAAATGGACTATCCAACACAAAAAAAATATTTTTAAATTCTTACCAATTGTTCTTGAAAGTAGCGCGTTCAACCAAATAAAGAAACTATTCAGTTTTATAATTCATCATCATCATCATCATCTTCATCATCAGCCTTTAATAGTCCACTGCTGGACATAAGCCTCTCCTTAGAAAGGAGGTTTTATAATTATTTATATATAATTCTTCTGTGCGTGTGTATGTGACTGAACTCCTCCTAAACGGCTGGACCGATTTTGGTGTATTCAAGTGGATTCGAGAATGGTTTAGATTCGCAATTCGGTTCACTACAAAATGTTATTTTTAGTGTAAGACGTGTAAGACAACGTCTGTCGGGTCCGCTAGTATTAGTGCGCTACTTGGGTATGCCAATAAGGGTAGACCCACTACACTTCCTATACCTTTGTAGACTTTACAAAACATATCAAATCTTCGTCCACAGCTTCCTACCTGTTTCCCAATTATAGCCTGACCCTGAGTACAATAAATTCAATTAAAAAAAAAAAATCGGTACACAAATGGCGAAAAAAAATTCAGTCGAATAAATAATCCCCTCGTTTCTGAACTGACACAAAAAACACCCAGACTCAGAACAATTTGTGGATCTCACAGTGTTGTCCCATGTGGGAATCGAACCCACAACACTCAGTGCAGTAGGAAGCAGCGAGGTGACCGCCTTAACCACTACGTCATCCGTGCAGTCGGTTTATAACATTTTCTTACATAGGAATCGAAGCATAAACTTATTTAAACTACTGTGATGGGGATCCCGATAGAGGAACTTCTTGATTAAGGGCCCAGTGGGAATCCACCCTAAAAATTCACTTCAGTTAAACGGTAAATCTTTAATAAATATATCTTTATGAGTAAAGAAACAATATAGGTCCCGAACTTTGTCTGTAGTTGAATTAAATCTAATATTTTATTCAATAAAGACAATTTATGCATCTCTTATTCAATGCCAGCTTTAAGGTTTTACAAACGCCTTGAGGCGAGCTGGAGTGTTTATCGTGCAATCATGATGCGTGTAATGGAACGTGGTAGGCCTTTAATTGCGCGGCCAAAGTCAATTATTGCATATTTTTTAAATCAAATTAAGAATGCCTCGTTAGCGAATTTTGCGAAAATTTGTTTTAGTTTCATATTATATTTAATAAAACTATTAGTCTGTTGGTTTAGTGGTTAGCGATATTAACTGCTAACCCAGAGGTCTTGGGTTAGGTTCCCACCGAGGACAAGTATTTTGTAATAAGGACTGTTAACGCCGTATACGCCGATAGCTTCTTGTCTATGCTTTTCATGTCATTCGTATCGCATCACTATGCATTGTAACTACCTCACAATATTTTTTTTTTCTTTCTACTTCCGACGAGCGAGCATTTCAACACATAAAAAATTGTAAAAACCGAAGTTATCTTGGACATTAAAGCCCAGTACAAATCTTGGGAGTATTTTTTTTACTACGTTGAAGCCCCAACATCTGATTTTCGACTTATTTTGTTCTGTCTGGATGTAATTGTTCAGGAAAGACAAATCCCGGATTGGGCTACACCTCTCAGTTAACTTTAAATACTAATGTTTGTTAAGTTGAAAGAAAATGTGCTCCAGTAATGGTTTATGCGCGTCTTCTTCTTCTCTTGACCTAGGGCTACCCCAAGATTTGCCACATTAACTGGTCCTCTGCTGGTATATGCGCGTGCGCACCTAATAGTTAAATATACGGAAATGAAATATTTTCCTAAACTAACGTTACTAAAATAAATTCTCAACAAATGTTTCTTTGTTTCTTTAAAAAAGACAACTTCCGCATTAGGAATATATCCTGTGTCGTGGGGGACTTTACAAACATACATGAAACAAACACAAAGAACACCCAGACTCAGTACAACAATTTGTGGATCACACAAAGTGTCCCATGTGGGGGGGATCAAACCCACAACACTCAGCGTGGCGACCGATTAAAACACTACGCCATTCGTGCAGTCGTCTATATATGTATCTATAATCAGCGGAACCGTTAGACGTTGTCCGGTACACACGTCTTAAACTAAAAAAAAACATGTGAATCTAAACCATTCTCGAATCCATTTCAACACAAAAAAAAACATCAAAATTGGTTTAGCCGTTTAGGAGGAGTTTAGTCACATACACACGCACTGAATAAGATAAAGATATGTATGTACTTAAAAATACATAACTAAGTTTATTAGAAACTAGCTCACCCTAGCTTCGCGTGAACTTTGTGTAAAACCTAACAGTATGGATGGCGCCAACTATTTACCAAATATTGACTTATTAATTTTTTTTTCCTGGAGATAAGGTATTTTGCCACTCTAAGAGAGTATGTCTAACAATTCACGCATAGCATTTTTATAGTCCTGATAACTTCGAAATTAAATTTCAAGAAAGTAAATTTTTGAGACGATTTTTTACACCTTGGTTAACGTAACTTGTTTTTCTTTGCACATGTCAAAGTTTTTTTAAAACAAATTATAGCCTATGTTACTTCCTGATAATGTAGCTTTCTATTAGTGAAAAAATGGTTAAAATCGGTCCAGTCGTTTTAAAGCCTATTCGATACAAACCAACAAACAAAAAATCTTTCCTCTTTAGTGTAGATAAATGTGCCCGGTTGACGGCTTGCTCTGTATTGTGCGAGTGAAACTAAAATCACAGTCGGCATAATGTCGATGATTTCATTCGTTTGTTTACTCTTTCAGGGAAAAAATCAAATATAAATTTACCAATAAAATGGGAAAAGGCAACAAGATGGAGAAAACTTTTAATTTATAGAACTTACTTCATCCCACACTTGTCACATTCGAAAGGTCGCAAGTCGCTGTGCGCACGCGCATGTGTCGTCAACTGTTTGCGTCGCTTGAAACATTTCCCGCATTCAGTACACGAATACTTGCGTTCCTCGGTGTGGCAAGCTGAGTGCTGTATTAGTTCCCATTTTTTTGAGAATGCTGAAATAAAATTAACTGTTCATCTGCTTATCAACCATTTGCAGCATCTGGTAGTTTAAATCTACCCACAAAAAACTTATATTCCTTAAGAAAAAATATTTTTTTAATACTTATGTAGCAAAAAAGCGCGCTTCACAGCCTGTATAGCCAATTGGGCATTCATATATAGGCCTAGCCAATTCCTAAACCGAGAAGCCCAAAATCGATCTAAGTGACGTGCAATGGGAGAGGCCTATGTCCAGCAGTAGACTGATAGGCTGATGATGAATTCCTAAAGACCTGCAAAGTATTTTAAATGACTTCTGGGAAACTTTACATCCTGCTCAGGATTGGGAAAATTACATAACAGGTAAATCTTGTCTTCTGCATAATAGTTCTCATATCGGAGACACAATATATTAAAATCTGCTCTACTTTGATATAACCAAATAGTTGGAGCCCTACACTGACACACGAAAACAAAAGGATTTTAGAATATAGTCAAATAAATTTTACATTACTTCCTCCATAGCTTCAATCATTTATAAAGAAAACCGGACCGGATGGCATAGTCGTTTGTGTAACGGACTGCTATTCCAAAGGTCGCAGGTTCGATTCCCGCTCAAGTCAAACATTTGTATGCATGAACATTTAATGTTTGATTTGGTCTGGGTGTTTCTATAAGTATGTATTTACAAAAAAAAAGGATATATGTATTTTTATCAGTTGTCTAGTAGCCATAGTACAAGCTCTGCTTAGTTTGGGACTAGATGGCGTTGTGTGAATGTGGTACAATAAAAATAAATGTTGGAATTCTGGTGGGTCTGATGACTGAAGACCACTTCCCTGGCAGTGCAATTTTACAATCACCAAAAATCTAGTGCAGTGGGAATACAATGGGTTCACAGATTTAAGGGCAATTGACAAATACTTGTTTTAAAGGCACAAGAAACCAGTAACAAGGTGACTATGAGTATATAATTCAAATTAAAATATTCCTTACTCAAATCCGAAATTTAAAAAAAATACTAACATTTCTGACAATTTTTACACACAAGCTTAGGACCATTATGCTCCTTTTCAATATGTTTATTAAACCATGACTTAGATGTAAACTGTTTTCTGCAAAGAGGACAAATATGCTTCTTGATCTCTTCTACACATACTCTCTCTGTCCCACCTTCCTTGTGCTTATCCTGTTTGTCTCTTTCTTCAATACTACTATTAACTTCATTTTTAATTATTTCAACATTAATGTCATCTATTTCTGATTTTAAATCTTTATCAAATATAACCTGTTCCTTATCTATGGTTGCACTAACTTTATAATCTGGTAATTTCAATCTCAATTCTATACTTTTTGGCTCCTGTTTCACTATTACACTAGTATTTGTTCTGGAGATAATGTTTTTTAATACAGCATCAACTTTCTGAGCTTCAGTAATGAATGTAAATGATGATTCAATTTTAATGATGCAGTCGTAACAGAACTGCCTTGGTAGTTTATCATCATTTGTGATCTGTAAGTAAATTAATATAGAATGAGAGGTTCTCAAGGTACCTGCCTAATGATCAGCCATAACTGGTCATCCGTATCTGGTTGTCCGTGTGGTGACGGATTAAGAATACAAATTGTCACCACCCCAATTCATCCCGTGGGTGTCGTAAAAGCCGACTAAGGGAGCAAACTAAGCAGGACAACAGCACTGCAAAGAGAAGGAAAACTTGAAACAAACCCTATACCAACCTGTCTGGCCAGCGTGGTATAGTAGGCCAAAACCTCCTCTCTAAGGAGAGGCCTATGTCCAGCAGTGGACTAGTATAGGCTGTTGATGATGATGTTGATGAACTGGTCATATCTGAAAACATGGATACACATTGAATATGTATATTTATATTTATGCATCTATACATATCAAAAGCGGGGTTCTTATACTGTGTAAGTAAAAAATGTCTACTTGACAGAAGAGCAAAATAACTGTTCCACTGAATGTGAAGTTAAAAAAAATATATATTGAACAATTTGCTATTGGTTAGCTGCCTTATTTCTGACTGGTATAGGCGAGATAGTGAACAATCTTTCTTCACTAATATGTATCAAAACGCTAAAACTGCCATTATATTTCTTATGTACAACTTCGCTGATGATACAAACTTTGAAAACCAAAGCCTGCCATACTATTAAATAAAAATAAAGATGTATTAAAATATACACATTATTTTTATTAATTAAGACAGTATAGTTTTATAAATATAAATAGTTTCAAAAATAGGACTTAATTATTTTTTTCCAACTTTTTAATGATCAGTAGTCATACAGAGAGAACCTTTTTTTTATAAAATAATTTTATCTTAGAATCATAATCAATATTTACCGGTTAGTGTTAACTTTTGAATAAAACTAAGTTTTTCGGCTTAATATCAGAAATATCATGTATTTTCGCATAATGTGCAAATATTTTAAGGAATTTTACAAATCCTAAATGAAAATGATGGTATATCTATCAGACTGTTATACCTTCATATTGGTGCAAAAACAGAACATTTCTACAGCTCGGATATCAAAGTTTTCTCTCTCCCACGACGCCACTTCCTTCATACAACTTCTACACAGCTTAGATGTATCCATACTATCCATATTAGTCTATATATGGTATATTTTGAAAGATTTAAACTGTGCGAAAATCTCTGTTTTTATGTCAAGTACAAGAACATCACGCGTTCCAGGTTCGTTATTTTCTTTGATATTTTAAGCATTATGGAGACAAGCATGAAGTAATTTTTAAATGTTCAGCAATAAAAATAACCAAATGAATTTCTCTTACGATTACAGTTACTTTCTTTTATTTAATTTATACTAACAAATTAAGAAATTTAAGTAAACTCATTAGATAATCTCCCAATTCAATACAACAAGTTTCTGTATAAAAGCGGCTTTAAGAAAATCAAGTATACAAAATTATAAAACCCTGTTAGTTCGCTGTCAATAAAAAGAATAAATAAATAGGAACTGGGCACTTTAGAAACTGCCACAAAATCCAAATAAATCAATACGACTCGTTTAGGAATTAAATGTGATCTCTATGGGCGAAATATCATATGACCTGGCTAAAAGATCCATCTTATCAGGATGCCACCCAGCTGTGTAGTTGATGTTATCAAGTTAAAAAATTTAAATGCAGGATGCATGATTAATAATCAGATTGATTAATAAACAGTAGTGATAGTACTGTAATTATACTTCAAGATGAGATTTTAAAGCACCCACTTTTATCGTCGTATTTATAATAATAATAATAAATCTTTATTTCAGAATAGCTTCCATAAATTAATAATGTTGTTTACAATATTCAAAATTTATCATCATTCTTTACCATAAACTTGAGTTACAATTATCTATGTAGCTATCTGTAACCATAATTTTATAAACATGGAACTGTTACACACCCTGTCAGCAAGTTCCTTAATTATACTGTTCCTACACGTACCAACCCGGGCCATGAACGCCGCGATTCGGCTTCTTTGGATGGCATTAATCATGTTCATTCTAGCTTCTGCAAACATTGTGGAGGAGCTACAGTAAGGTGCTAGCCTCATAAGGTGCCTATAGATGTTATTGTACTGAACACGAAAGCCATCCAAACACTTCTTCGTAAATGCAGTCCAGTGTTGACACGTATAAAAATTCTGACAGTATGTACTCAACAGGTGTACCATTGTCAATACAGTTATGAGGCCTGTTTAAAACTTCAAATAAAACCACACGACTGAGTAAATTTTTATTATCTAAATAGCTTTTACATTGAGATAAAGGTCCTTAACTTGTCGATGCCTTCACCAGTGAGTGGCGATGCTTCTAGCAATTCGGGCGCGTTCCCGAGCTCTGTGCTAAGTCGTGCAAACTGTAGCATGAGCAGGGCCTCATTGCGCATCTGTCTGTAGGCTGCGTCCATCTTGCTAAGAACTAGGATGAACTGAGAAAAATATATTTCAGGACATTATTTTAATAAAATATTGAGACTAGACACAACAGGGCAGGTTTGGTAATTAAGCCTTGTTGACCGTGGCCTTACCGCGGGCGATTTTTTATTAAGTAATAATATAATGGTAAGTCATCTCTCTCTCTTAATTTAAGAGCCAAGTCCTTGTCGGTTGAGCAATTACCACTCCTCTCTATTTAATGCGATTTGTTTGACCTCCTGATAGGCCACGACCCCCACTTTCTCCTTCACTTGCTGAATATATGTTGATTTAGGCCGTCCTCGTTTTCTCTTACCTTGTATTTTTTTTTCTTCTTTTATTTTTGGTAAAAAAATAAAAAATATATAGCATGAAGGACAAACGAGCAGACGGGTCACCTAGTCACCTGATGGATAGTGACTATCTAAGTCCATGGACACCGACAACTCAAATGACAAGTGCGTTGCTGTCATTTGTGTTATGGAGAGGGGGAGGAGGGGGGTGTTGTTTGAGTTTAGAACTCTGGTAATCTTACTCACTCGGTGGAAATTAACAAAAGATTTTTTACATTGGCTCTGCAATACTCATTTTTATTTTCAAATAAGTATTGGCATACTAAATCTAAATACAATATCAGTAACTTCATAAGAGTAACAACAAATCCTTGAATCTTACATCGAATGATATATTCTTGTTTGACCGGAGCTTTTAAAAGTTATGGTATTACACCATGCAAGATTCATGCAAGTGGGTTACAAACCTTGGCATTCTTTAATCTTGGTTCAGCCAACAAAGTAAAGAGCAAGACCGCAGCTCCTGATATTTGACACAAATTCGATGTGTCAACCACATAGATCACCTGTAATAAGATATTTACTTATTAAATAATTAGGTGCAACATTTTAAACGGTACCATCAATACAATTAATAATTACTTTTTCAATTCCGTCCAAATAATTATGCCACAGTGGCGCCATCTCCCCTCCAATCTCTCGTATTGAAATCATTTGTTTTTTCCCTTGTTTATTTAAGTAACCAATATCATAAAGATTAGTCCCAATAGTAGGCACTGGACTAAAGGTATTGTCAACACTATCAACGTCCTGCAGTTTCTTTAATAAAGTCGTTTTTCCTGAACCTTTTGGACCTAGACAAAGCACAGGTATTTTCGTTCCTGGTTCTTCCATATTTAAGAAAGTTTTAATATTAAAATTACTTATTTGCCGTTGAAAAGTAAAAGAATCAATGTTATAAACAGTTGCCAAGTGAAAGTTGTATCAATGTTTCTGTCGCTAAGAAAAGTCAATTACTCTACTCACCCTTAGATGGCGCTGTAATAAAAATACAAAGTTACGTACTCAACACTTTACAGCGTACTTTCACAAAAGCCAAGGATGTATACAAAAATAATGTATCAGGTTCTAAAATACATAGTGTTCAATGCATTCGTCCGCACGCATTTGGGCACGTTCTGTAGCACAGCCGCAGGTGGTGTGTTGTCATAGCAGGTCAGCGCTTCGGGTGAGTGGTATTCAGACAACTTGTCAACGAGCTCTGTCATTGGGGCTACATCTAGGCGACCTTAAACTTGAGTTTACGTAACAAGACACGGCCCATAGACTGAAATAGTAATACGACCATACGAAAACATTTAGACTGTCTATTATGTACATATTTACTACCAGCGAAGGTTAATTATTAATGATGACACTGATTAAATCGGTCTGAAATAAGTATATTATATGAATGCAATTTAACAAACGAAGTAAAATATCTGTACTTGCTTCATAAATTGTAGGTACTTAGGCTTGTTTGTAATTAACGGTTAGCTTGATAGAGCATTCAATATGTTTCATTTAAACAAATCCATATCTATTGCCATATCTTGCTAAAAAAAATAGTAGTTGACGTATCTGTTCATTAATTTTTTGATTTTGAATTTATTTTTATGCTAAGGAAGTTTTTTTTTTCTTTTTAACATATAAGTAGGTACAATATATGTTAAAGGCCTATTACAAAACAGATAAATAATAAATGAATTAGTTTTTTTATTTGGCCCCTCCTTACTCGTTGAGCTTAGCAACTGGTAAACCCGCGAATTTCGGCGCGCGGCACAGCGTAACTAGGCCAGCGCACCCTTGACCCACTGACTCACTGCCAGCAAGCGCCCGCCATTGTTTTTCAACAATCAATAAATAATACACTGAGCAAAATGCTTTGCACTCACACATTTGCGCAACTAAGTCGCCTCATCCCTGTCACTTTGAGCCTTAGTTTGCGTTTTCGCGCGCTGTCAAGTTTTGACTTGCACTTTTATTTTTGGGTCGCGAATATCTCGCGCTTGCGTACAGCTATCGTATTAGTTACCTAATATACACATTATAAGATTTATACAATATTCGACCTTCGCTAAGTATTACATTAGTTAGATACTAAAACTAATAATAAGCAATTGGGCTAAATGTATTATTTGAATTCAATGTAACAAAACATGTATTTGTTATTTGTGGTGAGAAAATTACAAACAAATCTATATTACTATTTAAAACAAATAGTTTTTCTGTTTCGTCGACAAGGCCATATTCGATATGACCTTCGGTTTATTAATACCGAGAGGGGTACTTAGGTACCTATGAGATCTATAAGTAATATATTGAGATAAATATAAAGCAGTATCTATAACATAAATAAGTAGTATTAATAGGAATATTTGGTCATTTCGTTGTTGCTATCAATATCATAGACAACTGTTAGTACTATCGTTGTCTATGACGATGATCCGTGTCAGCCTTGTAGAGGCTCTTTTTCACACAGCACAAACCAATGCTGGCCGTTATCTATTTGGTTATTTATCTATGTATAGTTTTAATAAAACAATGAAACAAATCGTGACCTTCTTATTGTACTTCAGTAATTAGGTATTTTAAGGTAAACAATAAAGACGCACACACATTTGTAACTACACTGCACACAATATTGTGTGGTACTATGATGATTTATGACGTGACACCTATCAATTCTTGATTGGATAATATTTTATACGTACAATCTCGTGTTGGCAGGGAAGGAATGATGAGTAAATCACTTACAGACGAACTAAGATTATTCTTTCATTTTCCATAGTCAATCGAAAGATGGCCTAGATATTGTCTCTGGTTTTTCAGTGCAATCTACTCGTAAAAATTAAAACCATTAAATTCTTTTTGTGCGTTTTATTTATAACCGGATAAATCCCTAAGTCTTACATTGGACGTTTTATTCATTACACACGATAACACTTCATTGTGCATATATAAGTACGCGCGCTCACACACGTTGGGGAATAAATTAAATAAATACATACATAAAAGCATTACGCCGCGGCCGCCAAGTGAGGTCGACACGTAGCGCGCCCAACGATACAAACCTTTGCTTGATGGTTTCTGAACGTATTCACTTCTATTTTTAAAATTCTGCTTTAAATGACACTCCTTGGTAGAATAAAGAATTAATTTGACGGAATATGATGACGTCACTTTCATTAGTAATTGAGTTTCAACATAATTATATATATATATACTAGCTGACCCGGCAAACGTTGTATTGCAAAACAAAAAAAAATTAGAAATGGGTCACCCTTACTATTTAGGGGTATGAAAAATAGATGTTGGCCGATTCTCAGACCTACCCGATGTGCACACAAAATTTCATGACAATCGGTCAAGCCGTTTCGGAGGAGTACGGGAACGAACATTGTGACACGAGAATTTTATATATAAGATTAGAGTAGTTGTATTGGACAGCACCTTTTGGTCCATATATTTATATATGTTACTAAAGTATTATAATTATTATATTTTTGTTACTTATTATAAGCCCAAACCCCCGTTTTTCCGTTGTAGCTGTCCATGGGCGGCGGTAGCCACTTACTATTAGGTGACCCAACTGTTCGTTTGCCCCCTACACCATAAAGAAATAAAACTGTTTAGCTTTAAGCAACTATTAACGAGCCTATTGGTCTAGCAGTAAGTGATCTTGACCAATAAATGTAATGAGTTCAGTCCGAGAACAAAATATGAGTGTGTTTATTAACATTCTGGTACAGGTTGAGCCCAGTTAGGAATCATACTGGCGGTTACTTTAACTGTCTTTTTTATTACTGTCAACACCGGGTCAACCGCGTAACCGAAAAATTATGTTGAAAAAATATTGGAAACTGTCTGAGGAATCATTAAATTTCTTCTCGAACTGGTGGCTGGTATACATGACTTGGCAGTTGAGCCATAAATCCCATGTAGATCTTGACCATCACGCGATGCGACTCGACTTATTTAAGTATATAGGAGACTCTCTATTCGTCTTGTAAATTCAATAATGAATATAAAATTATGAGGTTTGCCTTTCCCGCCATTACAACGCCGGACAGTGGGACGAACATGAGTTTTTTTTTTAAATTTCGTCAACCTCATTTTTCAGTTGTCAAAATTCAAATTAAAAAAAAACTAATTATTTACAACTAATTTATCATATTGATTGAATCACAATGAAAATTAATTCTTGTATGAAAGGGTTTTTAAGGTCACTGATTATATATTTGCATGATAAGTTGTAGGTAATTAGATTTTTTTGAGGTTATGTATCTGCAAAAATACTGTAAACTGAGTCGATAGGAAATTTTCTGACGAAAAAAAGGTAGTAATACGATATAAATTGACTTCAGTTGAATGAAAAAACTGCCGTTCGTCCCACTGTGCGCCGTACAGGAGTTTTTTTCCGGATTTAATTTTTATGTTAGCTAATCTAAGCTAAATGCTTTAAATAAATGAATAACTTTTGTGTAAAGTGGTAAAATAAAACGACATTTCTGTTTAATATTCATGACAATGTGAGGCTGCCTCACAATTGTATTTAAACACTTCCATATTTAACAAAGAAAATCCAACTAATTGTTTCATATTTTATTACTAAGGATTTGCCCTGTAATATATTATGTCTGCAATTTGGACAACACAAACCTTATTAAAACCTATACCAAATACTAACTATACCCATCGTCAAATTTTAAATGTCAAACAGATTACGTGATACTATTATTAATTTTCACGCTCGCGTTCATAAAAAGTTGTCGTATTGTCTATTAACTCATGCACCATAAATTCAAGAAACTTTCAAGTAATTTTCAGCCATGTTTAGACCTCGGTGATTAGATAATTGACGATTGTGGAAACTTAGAAGGTTAAAGCGGATAACTTATACTCATTACAATGCAATTGTTTAAGTAATTCCTACCTGGGCATAATTAACATAGACAAAGTAGTTTTTCGCTATTGTCTTACATTTTAGTAGCTCCGCGGCATTGAGAGAAACAAATAAAATTGGGTTGTTATTAGAGAAAATGTCACCTTGATCACAACTAAAAGTAGCACTAAGTCTAGAATCTTGGCCTAAATCGTGACTTAAAAAAACATTTTTTTATAGTTTTTAAATTGTGTACAGACTATTTCGTTATATTAGAGGTTGTCGCCGCAAGTTGCAAACTATTTTAATAAAATGTTATAAATTTGAATATCGAACAATTATGAATGCCTTTTTTTTATTTGCATTGGAAGACAATCTTTACTCATAGTGTTTACGGCAATGATGGATACCCAAACCGTGTCATATTTTAAAATTCGAAATGTTTCATATATTTAAATAAATAAGTTAAAAAATATTTATGCCAAGTACACTATTTGTTTGACAACGAATCTATCCTTCACTTCAAATATTCTTAGATTTTTTAAATGTATAAGAAGTTACATTACATTGCCATATAAAATACCTGGAATAAGTGTTGGCAGATATTAAAAATATTAAATCTTAACAAGAACATTTGTTGTTTATTCCTATATTTATTTTATTTTACATTCAAATAGTATTTGCGGTTTTTGTTCAATGTTATTCACTACAAAATGAAGGCTCATTCATCTCTATCTTATCTAAATAAAACCGTCTGGGGTTGTTTTTGTATATAGTTAACAATCAAATCTGCTTATTTTTATAAAACCACATCCATACTAATATTAAAAATTCGAAAGTGTGTCTGTCTGTGTGTTACCTTTCGCTGAACCGATTTAGATGAAATTTGGTATAGAGATAGTTCGAGTCCCGGGATAGGGGGTGAAGAGGAGGAGTTGAAGTTTGAATGGGGAATCAATCACCACTGAAC